CCGGGGGACACCTGGGGGTCCTGAAGAGCCGGGCGCCGCCTTGCCCCAGCCGTGTCTGGTACTGTTCTCGTCTACACAGGGGGCAGCACTTCCTCCCAGAAATCCTCTCAAAGGAGCGCAGACAGGATTTGTGGAAAACATGGGAGCAGGAGAGCAAGACCTGAGGGTGGACGGGTCCATGTCAGGGTGGTCATGTGACTGGACTGGACATTCTGACCATCACATGACCTCACAGCGTTTTAACTGCTGACTGTGTTCAACACACACTTTTATTTTGAAAAGCAGAAGTGGAGCCAGGATTCTGAGGCTGAGGCTGTTACGGCTGTGGTTACTGTTGCTGTTACTGCTGTTACTGTTGCTGTTACTGCTGCTGTTACTGCTGCTGCTGTTACTGCTGCTGTTACTGTTACTGCTGCTGTTACTGTTACTGCTGTTACTACTGCTGTTACTGCTGCTGTTACTGTTACTGCTGCTGTTACTGTTACTGCTGTTACTACTGCTGTTACTGCTGTTACTGCTGCTGTTACTGCTGTTACTACTGCTGTTACTGTTACTGCTGTTACACTACTGCTGTTACTACTGCTGCTGCTGCTGCCGTCATATAAACCTTGGCTCCAGCAGCACGGTGACACGGTGACACGGTGACAATACCACGGCTCCAGGGAAATGCCAAATCAACAAAGATTCCTTCTCGTCACTTTCCCTTGTTAGCAGCCTCTAATTAACTTTTTTCTCTTCCTGCGGCCTGACTCAAACTAATATTTACACATGCGTCTATGGCAACTGCTCTTTGTGAGTGGGCCTATTCTGGGGCTGCATTCTTCAGGAGATTGGCATCTTAAAAGGAGATGAGAAAGGTGTAAAAGCCTGAGGGAGCCCACAGTTACTCACCACACGGTCACGTCACGCTTGACTTCCAAGGCAGTATGGGTAAATCTGGACAGTGGTCTACACAGACTAGAACGTACAGGAAGTTCAGCTGTGTGTGTGTGTGTGTGTTGGTGAAGTACCTGAGGCTTCAGGCGGAACTCCTCCCTGCATATTGGACAGGGCTGAGCTGACTCCCCCTGCTGGACAGACCTTGCCTTGACCCTCCTCCACTGCTCCTCCATCAGCTGCTGGGCTGGACCTGCCACCAAACCCATCTTCTGAGCTACAACCAAAGGACAAACAACTGGTCAGACCTGAGCCGGGTCAACACTGCAGGACATCTTAGACCCCCCCCCCCCCCCCCCCCACCTAAGGCCCACGGAGGGG